TAAATAAATTTACAAGAGCAAAATATAAAAATGCCTTGCTAGTTTTAAAACTAAAAGTATTGTAAAACTGGATTTTTCCCTCCCAGCAAGTAATGCAGTGGTATAGTGATAATATAGAAATCACTTTCCATATCACACTAACAGTGAAAGCAGCCTGTTTTCTTGGGGCTAGAAAAAAAAAGTTGAAAATGGTCAGGAAAAACTGAATTATGGCCAGGATATTTCACTTTTAGACCAGGAAACCTTGACTAACATTATAAGTGGACCTCAGGGGGAAATAAAATGCTGCAGAAGTGTAAGATATTGCCCTTTTTAAACCCTTTTTAAATCGCTTTGTGTTCCCAGAGGGTGATTGAACCGTAATGTTGGGCAGCCCAAGACCAAGTAAAGGAAATCAACTGGTCATTCAGTGTTTCTGGAGCCAAAGATTGTTGCCTGATTCCTCTTGAGATTGAGTCCATCCTGAAGGTTTAATACAAAACATCACATTGATGCTTTTATCCACCTGTGTGCCAGTACTGATAAGAAACACTCTGGCACTAAGAAGTCCATTTAGTTCTGTAAGGATTTAGCTCTGCATTACATTGTATATATGCTGCCTACGCTTCCATTTGTTACAGCAAACCGTTGTGTATTGCTTTGGTCTAAATGTGTCTTCCAAATGAATTCCTGTATGTAAATAATTCACAAGAGATCAAAAGCCCACAAAATTTTCAAGGCCCCAAATTTTCAAGCTATCCCAGGTGCATTCTGTGCGTTCTTCTTAAAGTATAGTCTTGGTAAATAGTCATGGACCTTAGGGTGGCTTTCTCAACCCTCTACATTGCGAGTAAATCACTCTCATATGCGACTATATCTTCACTCTGGGCGACTAAATGATGTCTAATATTAGCCAATGGCTAATCAATTCTCAGATTTTACTCGCCAGTGTGTGAACTAGCCAATGGCGATTCAATTGCCAAGGTGTCTGTTGAGGGTTGCTTTCTGTTAGGTGAGATAAATCTTATTTTTTCCATACATATTTATAGTAGACTTAATAACAGTCCTATTAACAGTCCTAATAAAAAAAGGTTTAATTTAATCAATGTATTAAAAACTATTCAGACATGAATCAATATAAACATGTCCATCAATGAATGAATACGTCTGAATTGAAGGTATTTGACATATCACAAAATAACGAAGCCGCGTCTTTGAGTTGTCCTTGTATGCTGAATTCAAAAACAAACTGACTGTGACCTGATTGATACAGAATGTTTGTGTATAAAAGAAAGCAAACAACATATCTGAAGAAGTATTGCTTAAATTATCTTTTTTTTAAACCAGTTCACCAATTCAAAGTATAGGCTGAGAAATGAGAATTAAGGACATCAGTGGTATGAATAAATACCTGTATGAATGCTTCACATGGGAGTCACATGCAAAACAATTGTCTCCACTGGACTTTTGCCACTGGTCTCTTTATTTTCAGGCACTGAATAAACCAAACAACTCCAGTAACCTGCACTCTGACATACTATATCTGCCACAGGCGTCTGGATAGACAGATAGCCCTCTTAAATTACCTGTGTTGTTTTTCTTTTTCTCTATTTTAGAAAAGGAATGCTTTAAAAATGTCAGTCTGTGCCTCCATCAACGGCCGCTGCCCCAGGGGCAAACACTTCCCGTAAGACCTATTGTCGTCATGTTTATGACTGGTGTCTGCTTAGTGACTGACGTTTAGGCAAATGGAAAAGTAAGCATGACCCTGACCCGTGTGGGTGTAGGTGTGTGAGGTCAGTGTGAGGGTTGTTTTCTTTACGTGCCCCTCAGGAGCTCAGTCCCTCCCATACCTCCATTCTCCCTCATTTTGCGTCGACTCTCTCGGTTTGTGTAACAGCAAAGCATTGCCATCTCAGAAGTACTTGCTTTCTCGCCTGCGTCCTCACCGTTTCGTGTTTTTCTTCTCTGCGTGATGGATGTTCTGTTCTTTAACCTTGTCTCCTCCCACCCACAGTCATGCGATGTACTTTTCTCCAGCATTTGTTTCCTTGAGGACTTGGAAAAAGTTAGTTAACAACCCAGATCCATATGCTAAGGAGTCTCAGTTCAGAACAATCGTGCCCCCCCCCCATGTTCAGTTGGTGGAAATGTAGGCCACATATAAAAACATGCCTGTTCTGCATTTGTTCTACTTTTGCCTGAACTCCAAACCACAATCCAGCAGGTGCTCTGTGGACAGTCTTTCTTCATCCTACCTACTTATTGGGCATTTGTTTCAAAAGGAGGCCAAATGAAGCTCTTTTTCTCTATTCAAGCACATAGGACTAACAAAGGGAAGTAGGTTGTTACAGAGTTTTAAGGGGAATTTCACAAGACACCTGTGAAGAATGTAATCGGGTAATTTGTCTTCCAGCTATATTTTGCTTATTTTTACTTATATTTGATTAAAGAAAAAAGAACATGGTTTTTAGGACCATAAAGAAAGTGTTGCAGTGTGGAATTTAAGTTAAGTTAAGTTAATTAAACAAATTGTTGTTTTATATACATTTTTAAATGTTTTATATATTTTTATCTTATATAAATAAACACATTATATATTTATATAACACATATCTGTACTTTTTTTTTAGAAAAAACATGTATTTATTCGTTTATATACTGTATGTATTACTATGTATTGCATTTATATTTATATATTGCAAAAATATATTTTTTTTTAATGTGAAAATTGTGGATTCACTCTTTACGTTTTGGAGAGTTGTATGCCAAGTACAGCAAGCACACCGGCAGGGGTTGGATCCGTGCCTACAGATGCCATCTATATTGCTTTCTTGCACTGATTCACTTGAATAATTGGGATTAGCTTATTTGATAAGCGGGAAACAGTTTATTGTGTTTTGCTGACAAAGGGTAATTGGTCAGAAAAGGTCATGTTGGGTGTAAGACCAGGTTTGAGCGCACTCTCGTGCATTTAGATGAACTACTAAATGTCTCTGCTTACATAAGGCATGTTCAGAAAGGTTCAAGCCTTCAAGGTGTAATGGCATGCCAGTGTCTTTCACGGCACCCACAAACTAGGTCAGCTGCTTATCAAATCTGTGGTCCACTTACAGAAGCTATGGATTATGTTTAACAAGCTCTGAACTGCAACTCCCATAAGCCCCTTCTGTCCAAGCTTTATGCAGTTCAGCTGCATGACATGGTCCACCTTTACCCCATTTAACACACCACAACCAGTATTATTTGCATGTTTTTTCATAAGGTATGGTATCTGTCACAATAGAATTTATTAGAGCCCGACCGATATATCGTTTTGCCGATATTATCGGCCGATATGAGCCTGTCGCCGATATATCGGTATCGGCGAATATGCCGCCGATATGAAATTTTTTTTTACAGAACATATAATGCAGATAAAATGCTTGAAATGGTATAATTACTTAGTTTGTCCAGCAGAGTGTGCTCTATTGTTTGCTACTGGCGACCTGGATGAAACGCTTTAAAGCTTAAGTCTATGGAAAACCATTGAAACTTATCGGTATCGGCCCCAAAAAACCCATATCAGTCGGGCTCTAGTATTTATAATGGCCATATGAGACCCCTCAGTGTTCTCACAACGTGTTACAATCCTAATGCAATGAACAGGTGTTCTGCTGGGCTTACATTCTTTCCACTTCCCTTTTCTTATAACAATGGGTGTGGTCCATTGTAAAGTGCTCATTTTACTTAAAAAAAAAAAAAAAAAAAAAAAAAAGTTTTTTTTTTTTTTTTTTTACGATAGTAACAGTTTTATTGTTGGTGATTAATGGCTTAAATTCATGCAGTTTCTCTTCTGAACTGAAACTGTGTTGTTTTGAACTTGTCTTACACTAACGTAAAAAATGTCAGGGTTTTTAAGATTGTATTTTTCTGTTTTTGAAAGAAATGAATACTTTTATTCAGAAAGGACACATTAAATTGATCAATTTAAAGTGAAGACGTTTATAAAGTTACAAAAGATTTCTATTTCAAATAAATAATTTTCTATTCATTAAAGAATCCTGAATAAATGTATTACGGTTTTCACAAAAATATTAAGTAGCACAACCATTTTGAACTTTGATAATAATAATAATAATAATAATAATAATTGTTTCTTGAGCACCAAATCAGCATATTGAAATGATTTCTGGAGTAAATCATGTGACACTGAAGACTGCTGAAAATACAGCTTTGTCATCAAAGAAATAAAATAAAAAAATGTAAAAACATTAAAATAGAAAACTCTTATTTTAGTTATTGTAATAATATTTTAAATGTTATGTTTTACTGTCTTCTTAAAAAGTTCCCCAGTCTTAGAGAGCAGAAGAGACTACTTCAAAACATTTTTAAAAATTCTAACCAACACTAAACTTTTAAATGGTAGTGTCTATAACACAGGATTCCAAAATTAGAATTTCCTCCATGTTTGATTTTCATCCAATAAGTTATTTTGGATGTTTTAAGCCTTTATTGGTCAAACAATTTTTCTCTATGCCAGTTCACAGGTCAGAGTTTATTGTGTAGCAGAAGACAAAATCTTTGCATGTGCTTGTGTACCCATTCCCCTTCGTTTGCATGTATATGAGTGGAAGTATATGAAATTGAATATAAAATCTAGCATGAACCCTTAACTCCTTTAAAGTGGGAATCACAACATACCAGTGGCACCAGCAATCAACGTAACAGAGAGGTTTTATTTAAAGAGTCACGGGTTAATCCAGGGTCTTCTTTCCAAACGGTGTCCTTCTGTAATGGGCACTTTGAATGGCCCTTCTTTGTACACGCATCCTATTGAAATAACCTTATGGTGGTTAGTGATGGCACTGCATAGGTTGTTCAGAAATCAGCACAGCCAGCTTGTGATTTAGAGAGTCGCTGTGAAACGAGCTGGGTGACGATGGTCTCCATAGTGATGAAGTCTACAGCAGTTATTACACCTTCAGATGCTCTGTTCAGCCAACCCAATGGCTTACACTTCCTTATTTATTGTCTTGCAGGACCCTGGACCCATGCTGCCGTCTCCCACCCTGGTCCAGAAGCCTCTGCAGTTGTTGGAAATCAAAGCTAGGGGGCGCTTTGGCTGTGTGTGGAAAGCTCAGCTGCTTAATGACTATGTGGCAGTGAAGATTTTCCCCATTCAGGTACCACGCGGACCCGAGGCCAGAGAATCAGCTCCTAAAGCTGATGAGTTAATCTAACCTGTTAAACAATTACACAGCCAAACGTGGAGCTGAGCCATGTGTTGGCCTGTGAAGTACATATACGTGCACTGCATGTACAATATTAGCACATAATGTGATTTAAACAAAACTGAATTTGAGAGTATTGTAAAATATTTCAAATTTATGATACTTGACAGCAAAGATGACTAGGGTTGGGTATCGTTTAGGTTTTTTTCGATACCGGTGCCAAAAACCAGTGCCAAAATACTTTTAAAACGGTTCCGGTGCCTGAACCAATACTTATTAAATAAATAAATAAATAAAAATTCCCCAAAAAATTATGGATTGGCCATTAGCACTATAAACACATGATGTCTGTTTCATTCATACTGCATGCCAGAGGGCGCCCTCGCACAGAAAATCCACATATCCAGTCACAGAAGTAGGAACTCATGACCCTCCAGGAAATCCCTTATATGGACAAAGGCATGGCTATTATAGCTGTAACTGAGTAAACAGAACATATAAACGTTTTGAATGATAAAACAAAGACAATAAACACTCGACTGCGACAATATAGTTTATCTGTGTTATTCAAGCCATCTCTGGTATTTTATAATAAAGTATATTTATAATCCATTGCTAATCAATGTATTCTTTTTAAAGTAGCCTATGGAACATATTTTCTGCCTCATTCTGTGACAAGAAGTCACATCAGATCACAAAAGTAAGCATTTGACTGGTGTTGTAGAGTAAAAAGGTTATAATATTCTCTTTTGTTGGACAACAGGTTTAGAAATGTGAATACAAGGGAAGGTTAGCATTAGGCATTTTAATTTAAGCATATTTAGCTTAGTTAACGGAAGGCTACCTGCTGCCATCAGAGCAAGTGTAATTACTGCATTCACGTGCTCCTCGGATGCTCTCATTTCCCGAGTTGTGCTTTTAAGTCAGAATGTGAAAACAACATGGACACTAGCGTTACTACAAAAATGTGTTGGATTTGTATTATTAGAGCTTTCTGACTTGAGTTCACGTGCATTTTCTCAGTCAGGAATTTTTTTTCACATGCGGTGCCTGTGATGATGCTGCTTACATCTGTTTTGGAGAACCAGAGGACAAATATTTCAATCGATCGCTCAGGCATGGCACCGAAATGAGCGACGCCCATGCTTCTTACGTCCATTTCGAAGAACCAGGACAAATATTTAAATCAATCGCTCAGGCATTTAAGTGGCACCGAAATGAGGCACCGAAATCTGCATTCTGATTTGGTTCTAGTACATACCGGTTACATAGGGACCGGTGCCGGGTTTCAGTACCCAACCCTAAAGATGATGCAATCGTATGAAACAGAATGTGAACAGGAAACTATACATCTTCCATATTCAAACCTATCCTGTAAAAGCTGTATATGTCAATGTTTAATATTTATATAGTTAAATATACATAAATTATATAATTATTTATTTATCAAATAAATATTGTAACTTTTGTAATTAACTATGACTTTAAACAGAATATGAACAGAACAGTGTTCAGTGGGCGCTGTTTTTAAAAGAAATTAGTATTCAGCAGGGATGCATTCAGTTCATCAAAAGTGACAGTGAAGACATTTATAATGTTACAAAAGATTTCTATTTCATATAACTGCTGTTCTTTTGAACTTTCTATTCATCAAAGATTCCTACAAAAATGTATGACTTTCCGCAAAATATTAAGCAGCACAAGTTCTTTCAACATTAATAATTCAAATAAAAGATTTTGGGCCCTATTTCAATGATCTAAGCTCATGGTCTAAAGTGCACTGCGCAGGTGCACTCAGGGCCTGTCCGAATCCACTTTTGCTAGTTTAACGACGGGAAAAAGGTTGGCGCGCCCAGGGTCATGGTCTAAACGGGTTGTCCCTATTCTCTTAATGAGTAATGGGTGTTTTCTGGTCGTAACGTGCAATAAACCAATCAGAGTCTCATCTCCCATCCCCTTTAAAAGCCAGTTGCGCTCGTGCCATGGCGTGTTCGCTATTTACATGGCGGTATGTAATTTTTCATTTTTAAAAATGTTTGTGTGCTGCTGCGCGTCCCTGTGTGTGTAATAAACAAAGTGTACGTGCGTTGTGCACCCGCCTATAGGCGCATATTACTAATGCGCTCTTTAAATAACAAAAAAAATATTGTGCCAGACTTTAGACCAGGTTTGAGTTGGTCTATGGCGCAGTCTATTTTCAGTTCCTCAAAATAGCAACGCGCCAACAATGCGCCTGAACACACCTCTTTTTTTAGACCAGCACGCCCATGGGCGCACAAATGGCCGCAAATGCATTTGCTATTTAAACAACACGGCGCAGGACGGCAAAACGAGAACTGCGTCGGGCTGAAACTAGCAAAAACGCTTGCGCCGCATTGCGCCGGGTGTATGATAGGGCCCTTTGAGCACCAAATCAGCATATTTGAATGATTTCTGAAGTATTGTGTGACACTGAAGCCTGGAGTAATGGCTGCTGAAAAGTCAGCTTTGCATCACAGGAACAAATTATGTTTTAAAATATATTACAATAGAAAACCATTATTTAAATGGTAATAATATTTCACAATGTTACAGTGTTTTTACTCCATTTTTGATCAAATAAATGCAGCGTTGGTGAGCATAAGAGACTTCCTTCCTTAAATATACATGAATTAAATATTGTGTAAAAATATAAAGATAAATATTTATGTCATGAAATAAAAATGTGCATCCTTAGTAGAAACGGAGCTAACAGAAGCTGTCTCGCTCCACAGCTTAGAGTTTGGTGTGAGGGAAATAATTTGTCTCATCCGTCAATCAATCTTGTAATAATTTGCTCTGGTAAATTACTGCTTACTTGCATAATCTGAGTTGTCTGTGAATGTCAGCTAAAGCTCTGTAACTTGTATCAACTTGTATTATTTTAATGGTCAGTTAGCAGCCCTACTGCTGTCAGCTTACTGGTGGAACAGCGTTTTTGATGGAGTGCAGTTTTTTTTTTTAGGGGATTGCCCATCATGCCGGTGTGCTGTAATAACTATTTACTTTGCGTCTTTCTCAGGACAAGCTGTCATGGCAGAACGAGTATGACATTTACAATCTCCCTGGCATGAGGCATGAAAACATTCTGCAGTTCATTGGGGCAGAGAAGAGAGGAAGTAACCTGGACATTGAGCTGTGGCTCATCACAGCTTACCATGAAAAGGTGTGGAGATGTATGAGGGCTGGACAGTATTGGCGGAACCGTTGTAGATCCATTTTAGTTTCTCAAAGTTTACAAATTAATTTCTGCTATCATAATCAGCAGGGATTACGTGTTGTGACATATATGTGACATGGTAGCACCCAATGTATCCACAGTCAGTGTTATTGCTGATTTTATACTTTTCTTTCCTTTTATTGTGAGTTGAAAAGGTTTTAGTTTTTTGCACTGCAGGCTGATATACAGCCATGCTTGGTCCGCATGTCTGTGTGCAGGGCTCCCTGACGGACTACCTAAAGGCAAACGTAGTGACGTGGAATGAGCTGTGTCACATCGCTCAAACCATGGCTAGGGGTTTGGCTTACTTGCACTCTGACTTCCCCGGACACAGAGACGGCCACAAACCAGCCATCGCACACAGGTTAGAAATGTGCAACTCTTTAACAATGATTATGGTCATTGGATATATTAAAGAGAAAACACTGTATGACTTATTTTATTGTGCAAGAACACATTTTTATTGGGTGGATTTTTTATTTTTTTTTGGTCCATGCTGTGAAAGTTTTGGACCCCACTGACTTTCATTGTATAGACAAAAACAGCTGAAACCAAATTGAAAGGATCTTTGTGAGCATTTTAATTAATTTATTTATTAATTTATAAATTATAAATTAATCTATATCTTAATTATTTAATTAATTAAATTTAATTTCGTTAATGAAAACTATGACAAAAAAAGTTTGTTGAGCTTTTTTCCCATGACTAAGACGAGACGAAGATGAGACGACAATAAGGTCAATAAACGGTAACTGACTATTTCGTTAATGAAATAAGACGAGACTAAAATGTTTTAAAAAAAATACTGTTATTTTTAACAGCGACAAACAAGCTGGAGTTTAGCAATCTAAATGAAAGCGTCACTCAGCCAGTCTGTTCTGTCATGAGATCTCGACTGTATTGTTTGTGATTGTGGTTGCTGAATAAATGCACTTACTCAACCACTGTTTTTTTAATAGAGAAATAGGCTATTGCAATTTGGAATTAGTGGAATTCACTGTTATAATATTTTTCGTTTGTTTTACCCGTTTTCATAATGTAGATAGAGAGAGTGCATAAATCTTTGGTATTAATATATATAATAAAAAAACATTAAATAAATCAGTAGACTAGATGAGGTAAAATAAACCATGTAGGCCTATGAGTCCACATTCTATTAATTTGTGCTTACTGGTGAAAGTGCGATACCTGAAATGCAAAAGTAAATTTCTCAAATGACAACAATCGTTACAAATATAATTTTGAGCAAAAATAGATGTTTATCAGTTTACCAGTATACAGCATGACAAAAATGTGACTAAGATTTCATTGACTAAAATCTGACTGAAATGCTCATACATTTAGTTGACTTAACCTTGACTAAACAAAAACAGGACAAGGTTGACTAAATATGATAACTAAAATGTACATTTGAGTAAGACTAAATTAAAATGCTGCCAAAATTAATACTGCTGTAAGTCTACGGTTAATTAATAATAATCTTATTGCAAAAATGTCATGTTTTCATTGACTAAAACAAGACTAAAATACTTCAGGTTTTCTTCAGGTGCATCTTGACACAGAACAATGACACTGACATATTTTAAGATATGTCAGAGCAAGATATTTTCAGTTGAGACAGCTCAAACATGCATTTTAGTCTGGGACTAGCTTAAGCCTTGTCTGTGAAACCGGGGGTAGATTTTCTTTTACTAAAACTAGACTAAAATGTTGAGACTTTTAGTTGACTAAAACTAAATACGATAAGGTTGACTAAATATAATAAAAACTAAGAAGGACATTTTAACACAGGACTAAGACTAAAATTGAAAATAGCTGACAAAATTGATTTTCTTTTACTAAAACTAGACTAAAATGTTGAGACTTTTAGTTGACTAAAACTAAATACGATAAGGTTGACTAAATATAATAAAAACTAAGAAGGACATTTTAACACAGGACTAAGACTAAAATTGAAAATAGCTGACAAAATTAACACTAATTTTAAGCCTTTTTACTTGCTTAAAATTGTATTATATGTGCACAGAGATATTAAGAGCAAGAACGTGCTGCTGAAGTCTAACCTGACTGCCTGTATAGCTGACTTTGGTCTGGCTTTGAGGTTTGAGGCAGGAAAGTCAGCTGGGGACACACATGGGCAGGTAAGTGTTGAAAGACAACTGTTCAGATCCTCTAAAGCTTTGTGCTGACCGTAAAGTGCCGCCCTTTGTGCGAGGGTTGGCTTTGTAAAGTGTGTTTAAATATGAATATGATTCTATGGAGGTGTATCAGAGGCTGTATCTCAAAGTCTAATGTGCTACCTACATAAAAGACTTGTCACGACACCAAAATGTCAGTAGTCGATACCATATCAGCTGTGAAATTTCTTTCTCAATACCTCAACAAAAATGTATATGCTATTGAACACAAAAAGTATTTTGTGCAAAAAGTTAAATAGTAATATAAATGCTAACAAATTCAATTAAAATCATGGCATGTAGCCTTCAAGGGTTTCTCAATTAAGTAATCACATCTTGAAGTTTTTCAAAGAAATTATTCAGGTAAACAGGTGGTAATAAAATCATGAACAAATAGAACAATTAAAACAAGGATGCAAATTAAATGGAAGTTTTTCACATTTTCACAGCAGTCTGAAGTATTCAGGTAAACATTCAGTAATTTATTTAAATACAAAAGAAATCAAATATAAAATTCAACTTTTTGTTTTGTTATTAGGCTGTAAATCACAGCTGGATGGGCCCTCCATATTTAAACCATGTATGAATTGACTGCAGTGCTAGCAGAAAGATTGTAGAACCACTTGTAGCAATACTTTTTTATTGTATTCACTTGATACCGAAGTGCTGGTAGTTCCCCACTACATATACAGCGTTTTATTACTGGCTTGTTCAAGTGTTAAGGCCCGTTCACACCAAGCACGATAACTATAAAGATAACGATAAAGATATAGTTCTAAAAATCGTTCTTATCTAGATCATTGAAACATCATATACTTTATTGTAATAGTTCTCTGGCAGCTGGACCCTTGCCCTTAATTCACTACTCATCAAGGCATACTATATGCATGTACATGTTCCATTGTTAACTGTTATACTAACCAGACGGGGGTCTCTCTGTGTGCTCCAGGTGGGAACCAGACGTTACATGGCCCCGGAGGTGTTGGAAGGGGCAATCAACTTCCAGCGAGATGCTTTCCTCAGGATAGACATGTATGCAGTGGGACTGGTGCTGTGGGAGCTGGCAGCCCGTTGCACTGCGTCTGATGGTACGTATGTGTGAGCTGCTGTTCCTCGTAGACCATTTTGACACCAAACTGTGCAGTTATATCAGTTATTTTATAGTACAATTTTGATTGACATTTGAGTTTAATCTGGTCTGGCAGCACTCCCTGATCACACAAACACATTTCCAGTATGTCACTTGGGCTCCTGAATAAGCCTGTCACTGTAAGTGCAGTAAGCTCACTATTATCGATTATTGGTGTCTGGTCTAATGGAACAATATTGATCAGGTGTGGACAGTGAAGCAGACCTCAGGGACTGTTGTGACAGGGTCATCATGTGTGACGACCTCATTGAGATGTTTGTTTATTGCTTCTTAAGGTCCAGTGGACGAGTACATGCTTCCGTTTGAGGAGGAGGTGGGCCAACACCCCACTCTAGAAGACATGCAGGAGGTGGTGGTCCACAAAAAGCTTCGGCCCACTCTCAGGGAGTGCTGGCAGAAACATCCGGTACGTAATCATCATTAAACCTCACCTCAAGCTTTTAATGAAGTTAATATTATCCTTGATATAAAACACGTTCATTTGTCTCTCAGGGTCTGGCCATGCTGTGCGAGACTATAGAGGAGTGTTGGGACCATGAGGCTGAGGCGCGTCTCTCCGCGGGATGCGTCGAGGAGCGTGTGATCCAAATGCAGCGGCAGACCAGCGTCTCCGCCCCAGAGGAAATAGTCACCGTTGTAACAATGGTGACCAATGTGGACTATCCCCCTAAGGAGTCCAGCCTATGACTGGAGGATATCAGCATGTGAATTGCGGGCTGACCGAACAGAAAAGATGCGTTGGGGATGGTGGTGGACTGCAGTTCTGACGGCTGGCTTCAGACATGCTGGATAATCGTCCTGTACTTACGGCTGGAGCAAATGCAGACAATGCATTTTGTGCAGAATCTGGGTTTAATACAGGTTTACCTGGAGCCAGCTACGTTATTGTATGTGTTGTGTATATATAAACTAGTGCCACGGGGCGCTCTGGTAAGGACGGATGGATTATAAGCCGACATCAAAAACGAACCTCTTTGTTGTCGTTTCTCTGCTATGAGAATAAACTTTCCCATTCAAGGAGTAAACGAGACTCCTCCGCCGCACGGCACTCGTGTCATTTCAGTATAAAAAAGGGCAACGTCCATGTAAAGACACATTTAATGTGTACGTATGAATGACTATTGTAATGCCAATAAGAAACAGCTTTTTGAATGTGTAGTGTGACGCTGCTGTACAGATATCAACAGAAAGGGTGACGATACAACCCAAATCAACACGTTTCCTCTGAAAGCTTTCAGAGTTTCTGTCAGATAACCACCAACCTCTCGACAAGGTATACCTCAGTTTCTCATCCTAATAATAAGTTTGTTTTGTAACACTATATGATATAAAAAAGAGGATTTTCGATGACCTCCATTTGGCACGGAAGCTTTTTAAATACGGGGAAAACTTTTTTTATATGACAGATTATGCCAAGAAACGATGGCCATTCATAAACCAGTGTTCTGCCTTCTTTCTTTTAGTTGTTCTCTGTGTTGCCCTGCTGTTTAAAATGTGATACTTTTGTTCTTTTAGCATTGTAACCATTTGTTTGTTAAAACAAATTTTGACCTTTATCAAGACCTGTTGAGAAGAAAAAATCCCTGAAAATATGAATTTTGTGAACATAATACAGAAGCACTTACCAATATAGGTTTGCGGTGTCCTCACAACATTGACGTATGTGCATGCCTTGTTTTCTTTTCTTTCTTTTTGGTTCATTTTTAATTTTCTTAGCTTTTCAAACCTTTATCATGTGGAGCTTGTGCATGAGATCCCGTTAGCAGTCATGGAAACCCCTTCATTATTGGTTCATCTGAAGTATTTCCTGTCTTCGGGGCGTCACTCTTTTTGTTCCATTTCCATTTGGAATCATCCAATCTTGGTCTTCTATGGTCAAACTGGTTTCAGATCAGCAGCCAGGCAACCTTCTACACACTTCTACAAGAACTGTATCTCAGTATGTCTCAGGAAGCGTTTCCTTTTGCTTTGAGCCCTCTGGTGCCATTCTGGTGACCCTTGTTGTATTATGTATGCAAGGGCCCTTAATATAACACCTTATTAGTGTGGTCATATTATGTGCAATAACATCCTAAGCAGGGACTGTTTCACAGCTCACAGGCCACTTCCAGTGTGGTAAAAATCCAAGCGCATAGCAGTTTGCTTAGACCATAATGTACATCACAAACTGAAGTCGACGTCAGGCTATGCATATGTTATGACGCCCGGTTGTCTGAGAGTATTAAGCTAATAATATGCTGTAATGGGTACCGAACACATGCAGTAACTCTCTGCCAGCAGAGTCTTTCAAAAGAACAGCTTCTCTGCTGCTGCTCTTTGGCTTCGTTCACACTGCACTTGAATCCAATTTGATTTTCAAATCCGATCTTTAGAATCATTTTGCGAGAAATTTGTTCGGACAGTGTAGTCAATATCCAGATATATCCAGATAACAAAAAACTGCTTCAAATCTGATCAGACTGTTCACACTGAAACTGATATTAATCTGACTTCAAACCACGTTTATTTATAAAAATCTGGTTTTTATGAGGGTTTTTTCCCCTTTTAGACTACAAACAACTAATCTGATTTGTATCAGATACTAAATTGGATTTCTGCTGCTTGTCTGAACAAGTCCTGAAATATGATTCAGTGGCTCATTTTGGTTCATTTTGCTTTCAATATTTTAGTTACATTGCACCCCAAAAGAGTGAAAAATGAATTGAGATCTGAACTGACAATTGAACGCATTTCTGAAAATCTGATTTTAATTTGATTTAAAAACCACATATTCATGTGATTTGTATCAGGTTTGTAAAAATTGTCTGATTTCATGTGCTTTTCCCCCCGTTCAGACTACAAACAACTAAACTGATTTGAATCAGATACTAAATCATATGCTGTCTGTCTGAACAAATAATCCAAAAAATTTCAAATGAATTGAGATGTGATCTGACCATTCAGACTCAACGCATTTGTAAAAACCTGATTTGAATCTGATTTCAAACCACATGGCTGTGGTTTGAATCCAGTTTGTAAACAATGCATTTCATGTTTGTGTTGGTTTTTTTTCATCCATTCAGACTACGAACATCTGAACTGATTTGAGTCTGATACAAAATCTGATTTCTGTTGCCTGTCTGAACAAATCGTGAAGTATGATTCAGTTCACAATTCTTTTACAATATGATGCATTTGACAATGTTCAGATCCATACAACCGTATACAATCAAGCCCTTTCAATGAAAGCTCTCTATCTCTCTCTCTACTGTAGCATTCTCAGCCAGCTCATTCTGTTTTACTTCATCTGATGGTAAATTAATACGGGGCCTGTGCCATCTCAGAACAACAAGGCCCTCAGTTGGACTCTGTAGATGCAAAGGTCATTGCATTTAAGGTCAGTTGGTTATAACATCAAGCTGAAGTACCTGGTTCATTTGCAGGATGAGCGCTCTGGTCTGAGAGCATCTCTGTGAGGTTCTTGTGATTCACTTTTGACTAAACACTACAGATGATTCAATAAACTGAGTGACTGCTGCTGGCCTGTAGAGTGTTTTCACCAGGTGCTGTCCTGTTCCCTGTCTGTTTTTGGTTTTCTAGTTGGGGAATCTGGGGGGGAAGGTTGAATAAGATGGAAAGCCAAACTTTAAAAGCCCCGTGTTTAGTAGAAGACTCGGATGATAATGCACCGTATGTACATATGAATGTTGTATTAGATTGTGAAAAGAGCATGCTTTTTTTTTTAGGTCTCAAAGAAAAAAATCCTTTATTGATATTATTATTATTAAATATTTTAATGTTAATTTTGTACATCTGTATTTTAGTTTTATTAATTTATATCATGGCCCAACTGTCATTCTTCTTTTCTGGATCAATGAGAAGTGATGCTATTTTTAAAACACAAAGTCAGATAAAACACTACTAAAGAATCAATCCTTTACCTCAGACTTCCACTCACAGCGTTCAAAAGATTGAACAAACAGTGTAGCACGACAGACAACATGGTGCAGCGTTGCAAGTATTGCTCCTGGGATTCGACCAGCAGCTTCTCTCTCTGTCTTTTCTCTCAGACACACTTTTTCGGTCTTCAGTGACTATGTTTCTTCTCAACTACACCATTAAGTGAATGTCTCCACTTTACCAAAACTCTCCATTTTAGGTGCGAGCAGCTGCATTACTGTTGTGCTGGACATGCCATTTTTGTCCACCTTTCTCTTGAGTATTTAACGCATTCAGGGCCTGATCAGACGTAATTGTTACATAATGTACAGATGAAATTTTATGCTACTATTCCCCTCAAATAAAGTATAGTGACTGCTCTCAAATGTGTACTGAGTCTCACTGAACTTACCTAAAAATACTTGCATGCATATTTTCTCGATGCTGGGATGAGTACTGTCCAGCCTGACAGGTATTTGATGAATAGCTGTTATGTGTGAACACACCACTAGATGTCAGCAATTGGCCTAATTCGGTTTACACCCATTTTGACTAAGATTTTCCCTATTCCCCTAAATTTAAAATGTTTGAGCCTAGTAACATTATTTTTAATACTATTATTCAGTAAATTGATTATTAATAATTGCTAATTTAATAAATTAATGACTAATGGCAATAAATTCATACTTCTATTTAGAAAAGATTAATTGATCTGATAAGAGATTTCACAAACTTTATAAAATATTACCGAACCCAAACTTTTAAATAGTAGTGTATGTGTCCTCCAGCTATTCAAATGCCATATGTGACCCTGGACCACAAAACCAGTCATAAGGGTCCATTTTTTAATAAATAAGCTTTCCATGTATCGGTATGTAAGGATAGGACAATATTTGGCTGAGATGCAACTATTTGAAAATCTGGAATCTGAAGGTGCAAAAAAATCTAAATATTGAGAAAATCACCTTTAAAGTTGTCCACATGAAGTTCTTAGCAATGCATATTACTAATCAAAAATTACGTTACGGTACATTACATTACGGTAGGAAATTTACAAAATATCTTCATGGAACATGATCTTTACTTAATATCCTAATGATTTTTGGCATAAAAGAAAAATCGATAATTTTGACCCATACAATGTAGCCTACTGTTGGCTATTGCTACAAATATACCTGTGCTGCTTATGACTAGTTTTGTGGTCTAGGGTCACATTATTATTATTATTATTATTGTTGTTGTTGTTGTTGTTGATCAGTCCCTTTCTAACGGAGCATGCTGCACAACTTCTTGTCCAGGCCCTTGTCATTTCTAGGCTGGACTACTGCAATGCTCTTCTGGCTGGACTTCCATCAAGCACAATCAAACCTCTACAAATGATTCAGAATGCAGCGGCACGACTGGTCTTCAACGAGCCCAAAAGAGCCCATGTTACACCTCTCTTTATCTCCTTGCACTGGCTACCGGTTGCGGCTCGAATCAAGTTCAAGACATTGATGCTTGCATATAGAACAGCCACAGGCTCAGCACCCGCCTACTTCCACTCACTACTACGAATCTACATCCCCTCCAGAAGTCTGAGATCCGCTAGTGAGCGATGCCTCGTGGTACCATCACAGAGAGGCTCAAAATCACTTTCCAGAACATTCTCGTTCACCATTCCTGGCTGGTGGAACGATCTTCCCACCCCTATCCGGAATGCTGAATCCCTGACAATTTTCAAGCGACAGCTCAAAACTCATCTCTTTCGAAGCTACTTGACTTATTCATAAAAAAAATAAAATAAAAAAAAATAAAAAATAAAAAAATAACTCTCTCTCTTTATTTATTCCTTCTCTTTCTA